AACGAACGAACGAACGAACGAACGAACGAACGAACGAACGAACGAACGAACGAACTAACTAACTAACTAACTAACTAAATAAATAAATAATATAAATGGATCCCAAAAACTAGATTAAGTCCGGTCCCTGACGGAAGAGGCTAACGAAAACGAAAAGCTCCAAACACCTCCCTTAACACTATAATTATAATAATAAAGACACATAGCATAGTTATCAGGTTCTCACGTTTATACTTCCCTCGACGAGTGAATAGTTTAAAGATTGTCCAAGTCTTCGTCGCAGGATATTCTGATTGGCGAGCCTTCCGGAGACGTCTTCACAAAAACCTTGCCATCCATCGTCCAAACACTCAAAAGTTCGTTGTTCCTCCGTTTCGTTTTTAACTTATTAGCGAGATGACGCCTGTAGGCCGTTAGACTTTCACACATATGTATACGGTTTGATTCGGTTCGAGAAGATGCTGGACAGTCTTGAAAGAGACCAGTTAAGGATACATTCTTTAACCTGGTACGTGCTTTGTAGACTTGGGATTTAACTTTATGGCTGACAAATTTTACTATAATCGCTTCGCTGTGCTTGAGCCGTATATGATGAGATATTTCGATGTCTTCAGGGCTCACGATGACATTGAGAGCATTTGTCACTTTGAGCACAGCCTCTTCGGTGGAAGAATATGTACTGCGTGGGATTCCATGCAATTCCAAGGAGTTTTTGCGAGAGTATTGTTCAAGATCGTCCTGCTTACACCACATGCTGTTGATTTCCTCTTGCTGTTTCCTGAGTTTGGAAAGAGCAGCATCCAATTCCTTCCTTAGCAAATCGCTCTGAGCGACCGCTTTCGTCAGTTGTTGCTGTGTTTGTTTAAGCTCGCGGTCCTGCATGTTCATCGACTCTTTAAGTGTTTCGAGGTCTCGTTGTATCTTCCTATTATCGGACAGAACTGTAGCCATTTGACCTTGGATAACTGCAAGCATTTCTTTAATCTCTTTCATGTCAGAATTTGTCTCGGGGGAAGAAGACTCTGGAGAAGCTTGTGGTGCCGCCGCCATGTTCTCCGGATTACTCGCGTGGTCATCCTCTTTGTGCCTAGGAATTTTTGAATCCGGAGATACTTTCTCTCCATCAGAAGGACGTTGGTCACGTTTCTTGGCCGGCGTAAGCATGGTGTCTTCAACCATAAGACTTAAAATACAAAAATAACCGAGCTTTCGGGAGGTTAGTGCGCTTCGGATTAAAACACACGTCCGTCCCTCATGACGCCCCTCATGACGTATTTGCTTAATAATATGGTCCATCATGATGGCTGGGTAATTTCGGGTACGGGCTTTAAACTTCGTAATTTCAAATTGGTTTAGTAAACGATTTAAGTAATTTTAAAATGCAGAGCACCTTTAATCAATTTTTTAAACGGCCGAAAGAGTGTGCTGTGTAATACTGATAGGAACAGATAAGCCTAGGTAATGTGTCATCTTTAAGGTGGCCGAACACAGTTTTCCCGCGCGCTTTTGCTGATGCCGCTGTGCCGTCAATAGAGCAATGCCGTCAATAGAGCGATCATTTTATTTACTCAACACCCGCACTATCTGTGCTATTTTTCTCTATAATTGAACGCAGTGTATTGATAGCTTTAGTCTTTTATCATAAATATATGTTAGAAAAGGTAAAGATGCAAAGAACTCAGCAATTCTCAGCTTTTTCTTTGTTAGCGAAAGAACCCAGTTAAATGCAGCGCATGCGTAGTTAGTCAAAAAATTGCGATTGAATGAAAATTTGCACTCTCGGAAATACGCCTGTTTCTCGACAACCACTCATTAGAATTTCAGCCACCTTAAACGATCTTTGAAGCAAATTTAAATTAAAAGAATTTTCGATGTAATATTCTCTTTTAAATGTATGTGTCCTTAGATTAGGGAATCCGATAAAAAATTAGCATTTTCAATGCCTTTCGCCTATATCTTTGTCGCTTTTTTGTTCATCAGTAGTGTTGTTAAGCAAATTTTAGAAATTTGAATGAAAAGGTACGATCATCATTGAAACAGTGACCACCTCAAGTGTAGGAAAGGAAAACTCTTGCTGTGTTGGATGAGAAAGC